CTAGTAGAGGTCACCCTTGTTTCTTCATTTTAAGAATGGGAAAACTTGGGCTGAGCTCCACATGGTGGAAGGAGGAAACTGACCCCCAAGGCTCGCTTTCTCTCTCTCTCTCTCTCTCTCTCTCTCTCTCTCTCTCTCTCTCTCTCTCTCTCTCTCTCTCTCTCTCTCTCTCTGTCACACACACACACACACACACACACACACACACACACACACACGGGGTGGGGATAGGATGGGAAAGCTTAAGGTGTAGCAGTGGGTTGGCTTTCTAAGTCACTCGTTGTCAAAGGTCATGTCCACAAGGAATGGGCCCCCAGCACATGGCCCCAGGTTTTGGCAGCTTCCTTTCACCACATAACATTATATCACAGTTGTCAGGTTTAAAAAAAAAAAACAGAGGCCATTGTATGAGAAAATTTTCTTTAGAAGGGTCTGAGAGGCCACATTAATCTCCTGTTTCTGCTGATTTTGCATTGATAAGCTCCAGGGACCAGCCAGTCCTTCTACCGTGTCTTTAAAATCAGCAGGAGGACCCAGACAACTCAACAGAAAGGACTGTTATGTGATGACTATGAAAGCCAAGTTAGCTCTGCCAGGAACAAGGGTATAACACTAAGAGTTTGTCCTGTGCGGGTCTAGCTGCATCTTTAGGGCCCTCCAGGGGTGTGCTCCATACACAGAACCCCACTAATCTGGGGCAGGCCTGAGCTCTGGTTGGAGGTCATCGAAGCCATGAAGCCAACACAATGTATCCTAATCCTTATGCCTGATACCCAGAGACTCCTGGACGGCTTTTGGACAAGAATGCTGACTAATATGTGAAAACCCTCTTCTAGAAATTGATGATGCAATGCGTAGCTTTGCTGAAAAAGTGTTTGCCTCTGAAGTCAAAGATGAGGGAGGTCGACATGAGATTTCCCCCTTCGATGTGGACGAGATCTGCCCAATTTCCCTTCATGAGATGCAAGCACACATATTCCACATGGAGAATCTGTCCATGTCCATGGATGGCAGGAGGTAAGTGGTTAGGGCGAATGTGCGGCCCCTCGGAAGGAATAGCAGGTCCTGAATGAAGGTCTGTCTGAATGCAGGACACACAGAAAGGAAGACTCCGCCAGGTTCTGAGTTCTTCCTCCTCACTGTCTATGTTGGGGAGAGACACCAACGACAGAAAAAGACAAAGCAGCAGGAACCCCCTACCCTCATCTACATCTCCTTGAGCTAAATAAAGCCTTTGCTTACCCCAGGAAGAGAACCGGAGCCTCCAAAGTGGGCTGACAGCCGCAGCAAGCACTCATAACACAGACACAGATGGCGGGTGAGCTGGAACTCAAATGCCTAGTCTTCAGACACGTCCCCCGCCAACAGCTGTGCTCTCTGTGTGAATCCCTCACCAGCCAGTCTGAGGGCGCCTTGAGGGACACTTCATCCCCACCCATACTGTACCTGTCATGCATGCTACTCTTGCCCCAGGAGTTAGCAGAGATCTTTCATGAAAAAGAATTATTTCCCTTTATTTCTAGCACTCCCTATAGCTCTTAAACACACAGCGCTCAAACCTTTCAGCCCTCCCCGATCCTGCCAGCCTCATCTTGCTGTCATTCTCTTGATTTTATGACTTGAAGGGAGGAACAGCAAATAGTCTCCTATGGGGTCCCCTGAAGGATCTTGCCCAGGACTTTTTGTCTCTTCAAAGTAGAAACTTAAAAAAAAAAGTCCATGTGATAAAACAGCATCAGCCAGGCATGGTGGTGGTGCATGCCTTTAATCCTAGCAGTAGGGAGGCAGAGGCAAGCAGATCTTTGGGTTTGAGGCCAGCCTGGTCTACAGAGCAAGTTCCAGGACAGCCAGGGCTACACAGAGAAATCCTGTCTCAACCACACACACACACACACACACACACACACACACACACACACACACACACACACACACACAAGAAAAAGAAAGGAAAGCCATTCTATATACATTAAATCTCACAGAAATTCCATAAGGTAACTAGCTATGTGACAAAAATACCCAAGACAGATGAACTTAAAGGAGAAAGGACGTATTTGGCTCTGAGTTTCAGAGTTTTCCGTCCATGCTCAGTTGACACTGTTGCTTTGGGGCTGTGGTGAGGGGCAACACCGTGGAAGGGAATTCATGACGGAGCAAAGCTGACCACATTATGGTAAGAGGGGGAGGAGAGAGACTCGGGGCCTCATGCCCCTTCAGAGCATTTACCTGCTGGCTGATCACACCCCTCCCCTCCCACTCTACCGCCCCTCAGCAGCTGTGCCTGCTCCCCAATAGTGCCACAGACCGGTGAGCCAGCCGTAGCACATGTGGGAGGGATGCCAGAGGAGAGCCATAGCAGACCTGTGGTTCTAAGCTGAGGCTCTAAACTGTGGCTCTAAGGTATGGCACTATACAATTAGGGAGATGGAAGCTCAGAATTGAAGGGGCATGAATAACATGACACGGGACACAGCTGCCATCAGCTGTGCTCACTGTAATAGCTGGATCGCCTAGTCCATTCCTGCCAGACTGTTTGGAAAGCAGGGTGTTATGGTGAAGACCGTCTAGTATATTTCCTCAGGTGGCCTGTTCTAGAACAGCCCATCATATTTGCTTGGTGCTTTCTTCTCCCATCATGGTGATATCTTGTTTCTGACACCCAATTCATATTTTACTTTTTTTTTTTTTTGGCCTCAAAATAAACTGGCATAGTGAAAGTCCATCTAGCACAATGGAAGTCCTGAGGAAGACCAAGCTAATTCCTTTTATGTGTCCATTTCAAACCCAGAAAAAGGCGCTTCCAAGGACGGAAGACTGTTAATTTGTCCATTCCCCAAAGTGAAACAACTTCTACCAAACTGTCCCACATCGAAGAACTTATATCTTCATCCCCGACCTATGAGAGCGTGCCTGACTTCCAGAGGGTACAGATCACGGGGGACTACGCCTCTGGGGTGAGTTGCCATGTGGATGTCCTCACAGCCAGACCCTTGTAGCTCCATGCCATCCTCCTTCCTGTTAGAGCAGACGCAGCATCCCTCCTTTGCCATGCTTCATCTACATTTCTACTAATGCCGAATGCCATGTTTCTGTGTCGCTCTATCCGCCCGCATGCTACAGTGGGCAGCCTGGGCAAAGGGGCCAGAGACAGCAGCGATGAACCCCAGTGTGTCCTTGTGGACTGCACCATGAGGTAGGGCAGAGGTGAGGGCATGAGGGACGAGCACACTGCAAGATAGCTGAGAAGGTCAAGGGGCTTGCCTCGAAGGCCCAAGCCCCTAATGGTGGACAGAGAGAACCAACTCCTGCAATTGTCCTCTACTTCCATGGGTGCATGCCCAAAACAAAGAAAAAGGAAAATCTAATGGAGGGGTGCTGGAGGAAAGGCTCAGCAATTGAGAGCACTCGATGTTCTGGTAGAAGACCTAGGTTCAATTTCTAGCACCCACATGGTGGCTCATAACTGTCTGGACCTCCAGTTCCAGGAGATCTGATACCTTCCTTAGACCTCCATGGATACAATTGTGGTGCACACACATGTACGCATGCAAAACACTCACACATAATAATTTTTTTTTCGAGACAGGGTTTCTCTGTGGCTTTGGAGGCTATCCTGGAACTAGCTCTTGCAGATCAGGATGGTCTCGAACTCACAGAGATCCACCTGCCTCTGCCTCCCTGCTGAGACTAAAGGCCTGTGCCACCACCGCCCAGCTCTTTAAAAATTTTTTACTATTGCCGGGCTTTGGTGGCACATGCCTTTAATCTCAGCACTGAGGAGGCAGAGGCAAGCCGATCTCTGTGAGTTCGAGGCCAGGCTGGTCTGACAGCCTTCAAAATAATACAGAGAAACCCTGTCTCATAAAAACCAAAAAAAAAAAAATTAAAGAAAGGAAAATTCCAATGATACCATTGTCTTTAGACCAGATAAATCCTTTGGGTTCATTAGTTGCTTACACAGCAGGTGTTGCTTGGAATGGATTCTTGTATGTCACAGGGATACTGAACTCATGTTACTAACCATTTGCCCTGCTTGTCAATTAATAAATCTCTGCCACACAGACTTGCAGTATCAGCATCATATTGGTGAAACTGCTATCAAGCCCTCAGTCTCTGCTCCAAATATAGAATCAATACTGAGCCCCCTTCTCATGTAACTGACCCAGGCAGGGTAAGGCCTGAGGTACTCCCAAGGCTCAGGGTGGGGAAATGCAGGCTATTTTTGTTTGTTTATTTTCTTCAGTATGGTAACCAGGGTGCTGGGCAAACAGCAGGGGCAGGTGCAGACATTAAAGAACTGACATGAAATGTTTAATGAAATGACACATACATGAGACAAACACAATTTGGAAAACTCCAGACTTCAAAGGGCTTAAAGACAGGAGACAAACTTGGCATCTCTGTGCTTGGTAGACATGAGAACAGGAACAGAAGGGGAGAAGATTCCAAGAAGTCAGGGAAGAGTGACCCCACATCTGAAGCCTGGGTCTCGGGTCTTGTTGCTTCAGTTACTGCTGAATATGACTAACCTGCTGAGCGATGTTCCTCATAGCTGTGCTCTGTAGCCAACAGGGGCATCCTCGAAGTGTAAACAGCAATGGGGAGGCTTGTCTCAGGGCTAAAGTCTCAGGGCTTTTGGAACCTGATGAGCAACTGACTCATTTTAATAGGCCCTTATTGAGGCCAATTGCTAAGGCCTTGAAGGCTGAAGTGCTGGCGCGGGGACATACGGGTGAGTGAGATCCTTTGCCTGTGACTGACTGCCAGCCTAGCTTCAGGTTCAGTGAGAGACCTTCTCTCAAAGGACTAAGATAGACAGTGACAGAGTGGGACATCCTGTATCCTCCTTGGACACACATACCTGCACCATATACACCTATACCATACACACACACACACCAATTGTGAAATCATGACATTTCAGAATAGATGCAATTAGAAGTCAGTATGCTAAGTGAAATAAACCAGACTCAGAAAGACAAATATATCACGTTTTTTTATATGCAGAGCCTAGATTTAAAATGGCACGTGTGACAAAACCAGAAATTGGAAAAGGGACCATGAAATGGAGAAGAGATCTTAAGAGGGGGATCAGAGGACATGCAATAGGAAAGCAGAGGGGAAACTGACTGGATGATAAAGGGGAGAAACTGCCGGAAGGAGGGGCATGGGAGAGGGCAGTAGGCAAAGGACATGGATAAGGACAAAGTATGTTGACACATGTGAGGACGCCACGATGAAACCCACTACTTTGTGTGGTGAGCTAAAAAACAAAAAACAGTGATAAAAACAATCAGTTCTTTTAATCAAGTTAGATAACTACCACTGTGCAGCACAAACCGAAACAGAATACTGGAGACTCAGCCGGGCGGTAGTGGTGCACGCCTTTAATCCCAGCACTCTGGAGGCAGAGGCAGGCGGATCTCTGTGAGTTCGAGGCCAGCCTGGTCTACAGAGCGAGTGCCAGGACAGCCTCCAAAGCTACAGAAAGAAACCCTGTCTCCAAAAATAAAAAAAAAAAGAATACTGGAGACTCAGTGATAGAGTACTTGGCCTTGGATTTGAGTCCTAGAATCAAAACCCTCAGAAACAAATGCAAAATTCACAGGAAAGAGTCCCATCTCAGGTAAGGTATGGTAGAGAGATAAAAGAGATAGAAAAACTCCTGGAGAGAGTTCCGGGTCCCAGTCCAGAAGGAACAGCCAGGCAGATAGGAGAGGCTCAGCAAGGTCACAGCAAACAGGAGAGCAGGACTGAGAGATCAGCCTGGCTGCTTTCCCGGTTCTCACAGGCTCAGCTCTGACTCTTCCTTGGCAGGTAACAGTTGAAGACTTCGAGGTGGTTTGTAAAGGTCTCTATCGGGCATTGTGTATACGGGAGAAATACATGCAGAAGTCATTCCAGAGGTTCCCCAAGACTCCCTCCAAGTACCTGAGGAATATTGACGGTGAAGCCTTGGTAGCAAATGAGAGCTTCTATCCAGGTGACTTACCTATTAAGTATGAATTCTAACATATGTTCTTAGGATATCAGTGACCCAGCCTTAAGGTATCATAGTTGCCATTGGCCCCGACCTGAGGCCCCCATATCAATCCTGATTCTGTCGTTAGCGGCTTTCAAACCCCAGCTTAGGTCTGTGTGTTTCCTCGTTTCAGTGGCTGTGAAAGCGTCCTAATTACTCGGCTATGATTCAGTCTCACTGTCTTTTATGTCACCCTCACTTCTACACTGGGTATTAAACACAGATCCAAGCACGTTACTTTTCCTGCTCCCTTCTCCCGTCTCCATCCAAAGGACATTTCAGCTGTCCACCTACTTGCTCTCTTAACTTGTTTCTAAATTGATGACCTCTACTCCATCCTCCTTAGTCCTGGTTATGGGTGGGAGTGTTTGTTTGTGACAGGATCCCAAGTTTACCCAGGGTGGCCTCGAACCTTGATCGTAGCTGAGGGTATCCTTGACTGATCCTCCTGGCTTACCCTCTCAAGTTCAGGCAAGGCAGACCTGCATGTCTCCCTCAGCTTTAGCTGGAAGCCTTTCTAGATCTGTGTCCCTCAGCACTTCCCTGAGATTGCTCTGTTTGGAGACTGCTCCCCAGCCCCGATTGACTTTCTCCTTGTTTATTCACTCTAAGTCCATGTGTCTAGAGACAGCCTAAGCTCGCAGGGGGCAGCCCACATTCCATCCTTCCTTACCTGCCCCTGGCCTCTACAGGGCTGGTGAAATGGCTTAGTGGGCAAAGGGGACCTTCTGCTGAGCCTAAAGACCTGAGTTTGAGCCCCAGACCCACAAAGTGGGAAGAGAAAACTGACTCTCACAAGTTGTCGTCACACGTGCCATGGACACATACACATATATTCACACATACAAATAATTGTAAAAATAAATGGATAAAATTTAAAAAGGAATCTAATGTCCTGACTTTCCTTAGCAGGTCTGTTTTATATAATTCTAAAATGTAATAATCAGATTTTAACAATTTTGCATATTTCTTTTTTGTTTTGTTTTGTTTTTTATGAGACAGGGTTTCTCTGTATTGTTTTGGAGGCTATCGGTCCAGCCCGGCCTCGAACTCACAGAGATCTGCCTGCCTCTGCCTCCTGAGTGCTGGGATTAAAGGCGTGCGCCACCACCGCCCGGCAATTTTGCATATTTCTATTGTATAATTGTATCACAATTGCTTTAATCAATTCCTATATTTAGGTATTTAGATCTATACCCTTTTTTTGGCTTTGGGCTCCTGTAGCCCATACTGGCCTCAAACATGTTATGTAGCCAAGGATGACCTTAAACCCTGATCATTTGCCTCCCCCTCCCGAATGCTAGGGTTGCAAAAGCACAATGCCAACCTCAAACAGATTTTGACCTACCCATGTGTACCTTGGCATGTGCATACTTGCACACACAATATAAATAAATGTTAAAAATGATTTAAAAATGACACAAGAGCTGTGTGTCAGTGGCTCATGCCTTTAATCCCAGCACTCAGGAGGCAGAGGCAGGTAATCTCTGTGAGTTTGAGGCCAGCCTGGTCTACAGAACAGGTTCTTCCAGGACAACCTGCAAAGCCATAGAGAAACTCTGTTTTGAAAAACCAAAACCAAACCAAACAAAAACAAAAACAAAAACAAAAAAAGACAACACAAAATAAAACCTCTTGCCAGGGATGGATACACACCTTTAATCTCAGCACTGAGTAGGCTGAAGCAAAGGAATGGAAGGCTTGGAAGGCTTGAGGCCAGCTGGAGAAGCATAGCGAGACCCTGTCACAAAACAAAATAGTGAAGGCTCATATAGGACAATGTTTTTAAAAGGTAACACTCTGAACCCTATTTTAAGCTGGGATTTTATTGCTACTTTATATAATAATTTAATAAGCCAATAAGCTGCTCTGAGCGGAAAGCCTGTGCTGAGTGATTTTAGGAAATTAAAAGTATTTATCACCAGATATTATGACATGGGCCTGGAATCCCAGCACTCAAAGGTAGAAGCAAGAAATCGGGAGTGTAAGGCTATCCTTAGCTACAGAACAAGTTGGAGACCATCTTGTGCTGTGAGACCCTGTCTTAAAAATCCAATCCCACCCCATCTCCTAAACTAACTAACTAAATAAACACATAAATGAATAAATAGAAATAAGAAATGACAGCACATGCCTTTGATCCCAGCACTCAGAAGGCAGAGGCAGGAGGATCTCTGTGAGTTATACTCCAGCCTGGTCTACATAGCAAGTGCCAGGACAGCCAAGATAACATAATGAGACCTTGTCTCAAAAATAAATTTAAGAATGTTGCCGGGCGTTGGTGGCGCACGCCTTTAATCCCAGCACTCGGGAGGCAGAGGCAGGCGGATCTCTGTAAATTCGAGACCAGCCTGGACTACCAAGCGAGTTCCAGGACAGCCTCCAAAGCCACAGAGAAACCCTGTCTCGAAAAAACCCAAAAAAAAAAAAAAAAAAAAAAGAATGTATTTGTGCCGGGCGTTGGTGGCGCATGCCTTTAATCCCAGCACTTGGGAGGCAGAGGCAGGTGGATCTCTGTGAGTTCGAGACCAGCCTGGTCTACAAGAGCTAGTTCCAGGACAGCCTCCAAAGCCACAGAGAAACCCTGTCTCGAAAAACCAAAAAAAAAAAAAAAAAAAAAAGAATGTATTTGTAAGTAGTATATTAATTACATTATATAAATACTACTTCTAATCACTTGAAAATCATTCTTATGCCAGATGAAATATTATTGCTATTTTATACTACTCGGTCACTTTGAAAACTCAGTGTGAAAATAAGCTTTATTTAAAGAACAAGTTATGCTAAGCATGGTGGCACATACCTTTAGTCTCAGCACTCAAGAGGCAGAGGCGAGAGGATCTCGGTGACTTTCAGGCCAGTCTGGTCTACACAGCACTCGGGAGGCAGAGGCAGGCAGATCTCTGTGAGTTCGAGGCCAGCCTGGTCTACAGAGCGAGTTCCAGGACAGCCTCCAAAGCCACAGAGAAACCCTGTCTCGAAAAACCAAAAAAAAAAAAAAAAAAAAAAGACAAGTTAATAGAGGTGTAAAATTATAACTGATGAAGTGTGAGATGACAAGCTAATGAGATATTGCAATATTTCTTATGTGGGTAATGTTTACAAGGCCACTTGTCCTAGATGCTGACATATTGCTCTGTGTTTTATTGAGAAAGTCTTCACCCCTCCTCCGAAGAAGGGAGAGGATCCCTTTGGTACAGAGGACCTTCCTGCAAACCTGGGCTATCACCTCCAGATGAAGGGTGGTGTGATTTACATCTACCCTGATGAAGCAGCAGCCACAAGAGAGGAGCCTAAGCCCTACCCTTACCCAAATCTGGATGACTTCCTGGACGACATGAACTTTTTGCTTGCTCTGATTGCACAAGGGCCTGTGTAAGTGTTAACTGAGATCTAAACATCAGCAACCAGTGTTATTGATGATCACAAGTATACCATCACATGCTCACGGTTAAAACACTACACTAAACTCCTTTATTGCCTGCAATGCCTTACGCAATGCATTTGTCTCTTTGTCTGTCTGTCATCTGTCTATTTATTTATTTACTTAAGTTTCTTTTTTTGTTTTTGTTTTGTTTTGTTTTTGTTTTTACGAGATAGGGTTTCTCTGTATAAGTTTTGGAGGCTATCGGTCCAGCCCAGCCTCGAACTCACAGAGATCCTCCTGCCTCTGCCTCCCGAGTGCTGGGATTAAAGGCGTGCGCCACCACTGCCCGACTTTTACTTAAGTTTCTTAAGTAGCCCAGGATAACATCAAACTTGCTATGTAGTCCTGGCTGACCTTGAACCTCTATCCTTCTGCCTTCACCTCCCAAGTGCTGGGATTACAAGTTTGCACCATCATGCTCAGTTTATGCAGTGCTGTGGATCAAACACAGGACTTTACATGCTAGGCAGGCACTGTATGAACTGAGCTACAGCCCTACTATGATATATTCTTTTTTTTAAGATTTTATTTTATTATTATTACTATTGTTTTGTTTTTTGAGACAGGGTTTCTCTATGTAGCACTGGCTGTCCCAGAACGCACTCTGTAGACCAGGCAGGCCTCTACCTGCCTCTGCCTCCTGAGTGCTGGGGTCAAAGGCGCGCATCACCACTGCCCAGCTTATTTTATTTCTTTAATTACGTGTATATGTAATTGTCTCTGTGTGGGTACCTGTATGTGAGTGCACGCCCCATGGTAGCCAGAGGCATCAGATTCCCTGGCCTGGTGGTAACAGGCAGAGTTGTGAGATCCCAGAGGTGGGTTCTAGGAACCAAACTCAGGTCTTAACCACTGAGCCATCTCCCCACCCAACCCTACCCTGAGATACTTTAATTATAGTTTAACAAGCTGAAGCATTTGTGAGTTGAGGGAGTGGAGTAACTAAGTAGGTGCTAACTCAGGATGGCGCCCAGGTCTATTGACTCCACAGCTGGGATCTTACTTACTTTTGACCTACACTGTCCCCACAGATTTTTAAATGCCTTCTCAAGTCCTCCCTTAGTATTATGTCCAGCTTTGCTGAGAAGCTGGGTACTCTACACTGGCCTAGTTGTGGAGGAGCAAACAGTATTTCTTCTCACAACTGTTTCCTCCTGTGGGTGAGGACAGTCCCGTAGGCTTTGAAATTGTTATCGTTTTCCTTACCTGTCTGGAAAGATTTAAGAATCCTGTGCATCTACTTTTCACAGTAAGACTTATGCTCACCGGCGTCTGAAGTTCCTGTCCTCCAAGTTCCAGGTCCATCAGATGCTGAACGAGATGGATGAGCTGAAGGAGCTGAAGAACAACCCCCACCGGGACTTTTATAACTGCAGGAAGGTGAGTGCATGCAGCTCAGAGCTCCCCACGGACATGCACCCCAAAGGACATGTGCCCTGATGGACATGCACCCCACCTGCAGGGTCTCTGAGTTTTTAAGGACAAGAAGCTGTTTGCTGACTGAGGAACATACCACTTCTTCAGGTTGCATGGATTTTAGCTGAGGCAGGTAGATTATATATAGAAGATTTGAAGTGCCATTATGTTGTTTGCCCAAGAGGGGAAAAAATGACACTTGCCATGGGAAAATTATAATTAAGAAGAAGCAGCCCAGTGGCAGAGAGATTGTACAGCCTGAGACGTGCAAGGCCCTGGGTTGGGGCCCAGTGCTGCAAAAATAAATCATAACTGTCACCAACAAGAATAAAAACCAAAGCTTTCAAGAGTTACTACTTCACGCTTGGGATAGCTTCCTTCTTGCTGTCTTCTGTATCCTAACTATAGAACTTGGGGTAAAGAATGAAATAGATTTTGTTTTGATTTGTAAAGTGGAGGAATAGGTTTGCTCAACAGAGTTACATAAAGATTGCAGGTGCTGCATGGGCTACTCACCCAGGAACACTTCCAAAATATGTTCTGGCCTTGCAAATGACCTCAAAGAAGTAGGTAGGCGTGGAAATGTCTAAGCCAAGTTCCAGTCTCGAGTCTCGGCTTAGCTGCTGTCAAATTTTGAGCAAATGCTTAGTCTATCAAAAATAAATTTATTAATATATTTTATTTTATTTTTTAAAATAATGGTTCCTAGTCAGGCGGTGGTGGCACATGCCTTTAATCCCAGCACTCAGGAGGCAGAGACAGGCGGATCTCTGTGAGTTCCAGACCAGCCTGGTCTACAAGAGCTAGTTCCAGGACAGCCCCAAAAGCCACAGAGATAACCCTGTCTTGAAAAACCAAAAAAAAAAAAAGATTCCTTCAAGTTTTTAATTTTATTTAAAGTTGTTTGCGAATGTGAGGCAAGAGAGGGGAGAGATGTGCACATTGAGTGCAGGTACCCTCAGAGGCCAGAAGATGGCATTGGATCCCCTGGAACTGGAGTTAACAGGCAACTGTATGCTGGGAATTTGAACTCAGGGCCTCCGCAAAAGGAATAAGCACTCTTAAATGCTGAGCTATCTCTCTAGCCTTACCTATTGATTTTTGAGACATGGTCACTGTGTAGCCCTAACTGTCCTGGAACCCATTATACAAAGTAGGCTGCCTTCCAACTCACAGCCATCCTCCTGCCTCTGCCTCCTGAGTGCTGGGATTACAGCATGCACCATGTTTGACTACTATTCATTTATAAAATAGGCATGATAAGTTAATGTGGTGGCCCATCTTTAATCCCTGTACTGGGGAGGCAGAGGCAATGAGTTCAAGGTCAGCCTGATTTACAGAGTGAAAGTCTGTCTCTAGATAGATAGATAGACAGATAGATAGGTAGATGGATAAAGAGAGAGATAGATAGATAGATAGATAGATAGATAGATAGATAGATGGACTACGTGCCTGAAATTCCAGTCCTTGCGAGGTAAAGGCAGGAGGATCTGCAGTTTGAAGTCATCTTCAGCTACATATCAAGCTAGGGCCAGCCTGGGCTGTAGACAGTTTCTGTCCCACCTGGTCCCACAGCCGTTTAGCCCCAAATAAACACACAGAGGTTTATGTTAATTATAAACTGTTTGACCGGTGACTTAGGCATTGCTGGAGTTTTCTTGTGTAGGCTTCTTACTGGCTAGCTCTCTCTTAACTATTAACCCATAACTAGTAATCTGTGTATTTCTACAAAGCCTTATCTTACCAGAGAACGCCTGGCGTCCTATCTTCCCAGTAGCTACGTGGCACCTCCCCGGCGGCTCCTCGCTCTGCTCTCTTCCCAGCATTCCTCTAGTCTGGTTGCCCTGCCTGTTCTTCCTGCCTGGCTACTGGACAATCAGCATTTGTATTAAACCAGTAAGAGAAACATTCGCAGCACACAGCCCATCACTGGGCTGCAGGAAATTGCCTCCAACAGACAAATACTATTGTACTTGTGAATTTTGTTTTTACATCATCATTGTATCAGGTCAGTTTTCAGGAGTCAGCTCTCTGTGGTCATCAAGCTTGGTGGCAAATGCTTTTATCTGTTGAGCCATCGTCTTGCCCTATTTTTTTTTCTGTTTTTGTTTTTGTTAAGCAGGGTCTCATGTAGCCCAGTCTGGCCTCAAACTTGATATATAGTTGAAGATGACTTTAAACTCCTAATTCTCCTGCCTCCTCTTCCCCAGGGTAGGGATGTAGCTGGGATTACAGGTATGTGCCAGCGTAGCCAATGAGCTCTATAATTTAAATCTTAACTTCCTTGGGTGCAAAAACTATGATAGCTAAATTGCTTTTATTGTATTTGTGGAGTAGAAATGAGCAATAAAAATTCTGTCTCAGATGTGGGAAGCACACTGGTGTACTGATGTTTGGGAGGGCCAGACCTCCTCCCTGCATCCAGTAAACCACTCACATCCTCCGCAGGCGCAGAGAGGACACGAATGGCCCTTTACTACTGGCCGCCTCTACCGGCTATCGGTTCACATCACTGTCTGTTCCTCCCTCCCTCCTCAGTGCGGTCTGCAGGACTGTGGCCACCAACAGCTGTACAAAGAAGGCTGATTGCTGGTTTTCCTTTCTCTAAATGTGCACACAGGTGGACACTCACATCCATGCCGCTGCCTGCATGAACCAGAAGCACCTGCTGCGCTTTATTAAGAAATCATACCATATTGACGCTGACAGAGTGGTCTACAGCACTAAAGAGAAGGATCTGACCCTAAAGGAACTTTTCGCCAAATTAAACATGCACCCGTATGACCTGACGGTTGACTCTCTGGATGTTCATGCTGTAGGTTGGGAAGATGCTACTTTTACTTGCTCTAATGACCCACAAACCCAGATGTTCCACTTGGTCCTTCCCAGGACTCTGTACCCAGGGAGCTCTGGTAATCAAAACTTCTGCTCTTGTTTCCTGATTCAGGGACGCCAGACATTCCAGCGTTTTGACAAATTCAACGACAAATACAATCCTGTGGGTGCAAGTGAGCTTCGGGACCTCTACCTAAAAACAGACAATTACATTAATGGGGAATATTTTGCCACTATCATCAAGGTGAGTAAAAAATAGTTACTATGGTTCGGAATAGGGGAAGAGAGAAGGGGAAGGCAGGAAAGAAGGAAGGAAGGCAGAAAGGGAGGGGAGAGAGGGGGGAGGGGGAGGGGGAGGAGGGAAAGAGGCATCCCTGGAGAAATGCCTCTGTTTCTAGGGTGGAGAAGTTAAGGAGTGATTTAGGGGTTAAGGACCTGACCTTCCGGGTTTGGGCAGAGCTAGGAGTATCCCTTGTGATGCTGTGTTTTAAGAAGCAAGTGTAGCATGCGGGGCTGATGGTTGTGTCTTGGGGAGAGGGGTCTATACAGCTGTGCTTGCCTTGCAGGCCCCATGGCTATCTCATCATCCTTAGCCTGATCCTTGCCCCTGGTCTCTGTCACCGGAGGCTCTTCTGCTCTCTGCTCTCTGCCCCCTTCGATCTCTGATAATTCTGTTCTCAATCCCTTTCACATTCCCTCTCCCTACAGCCCTCTGGCCTAGACCTCTGGGAGGACTTGTGGGAATTCCCGGCCTCCCACCCTTCTCTTGGCTTTACAGGAGGTGGGTGCAGATCTGGTGGAGGCCAAGTACCAGCATGCGGAGCCCCGCTTGTCCATCTATGGTCGCAGTCCTGATGAGTGGAGCAAACTCTCCTCTTGGTTTGTCTGCAACCGCATCTATTGCCCCAACATGACATGGATGATCCAGGTCCCCAGGATCTAGTATGTTTTTGCCCCTCCCCATGGGGGTGGGCTCTCGGGCTAGTCCTTCTCCCACTGCCTCCTCTCAGTCTGAACCAGAAAGCTATAGATCATTTAAATAAATATCAGCTTTGCCCAAGGGGCTACACTGGGGACTAGCTCCAAAATCTAACCTCTCCTCTCCCCGTCTCCCTCTCCTTCTCCTCTCCCCCCTCCCCTCCCCTCCCCCTTTCTTTTTCTCTCCTCTCCCACCACAGATAAGGTCTTGCTATGTAGCCCATGCTGACTTCAAATTTGAAATCCTCCTGCCTCTGCTGTCTGAGTGCATGAATCATACACCACCACACCCAACTTAGTTTGGTTTTCAAACTAAAAGTAAGGATCTAGAATGTATTTTCCCCAGGGGCAAATACTTAGTTCTTACTCTAAGGAAGAGCTAAGCTAGAGTAAGAACCATGTACACAACATCTGTCTTGTCAGAGTAAGAACTGTGTACATCACACATTAGTCATGTCTGTTAGATAAGAACCGTGTACATCACACATTGTGTCCAGTTCATTCTTTGCCAAGTTCATCTGTACTGGCATATACTTTTATTTTATTTTATTTTGGATACAGAATCTCCTTGTATATCCTTGATGGCCTGGAACTTTCTATGTAGACCATGCTGGCTTCCAACTTCCAGAGATCTACTGCCTCTATTGCCTGTGTGCTGGGAGTAAAGGCCTGCACCACCATACCTAGCTCTTTAGTTTTAGTTTTGAGACAGGGTCTCACTATATAGCTCAGGTTGGACTCAAACTCATATTCCACCTCTTTCTGTCTCCTGAAAGCCGGGATTACAGGATTGTGCACTGTGTTAGAATCCAATCTTAGCTGTCTGGTATCTGAACCTTTACTGCCACTGGCTGATTCACCCAAAAAAGCCCAAGTTCTTCGTAATGATAGTATGTGTCAGTGCTGCTGCTGAGGAAGCCAACTCCCTTTCATGGTATGCGCAGTCACTCCCTGCCTTCAGGGATGACTTCTCTCCTGTGTGCAGTATCACCGATCTTTTATCTAACTTCCATGCTTACATACATACAAAGTCTCTGGCGGCCTGCTTATGTGCCCTATGGCAATGCACGGTTTCCTTCACTGGGCCTCGAAAGATGGCTCAGCTGCTAAAGTGTTTGCTCCACAACCATGAAGCTCAGGTCATGAGTTCAGGTCCTACAAAATACCTAAAAATGGGACCTAATGTATTGAGTTGTTATGAGGGTTAATGTAGCTAATATTTTTATCTAGTTAGAAAAGTTTCTGGTGGGCTGGGCGTTGGTGGCACACGCCTTTAATCCCAGCACTCGGGAGGCAGAGGCAGGTGGATCTCTGTCAGTTCGAGGCCAGCCTGGTCTACAGAGCGAGTTCCAGGACAGCCTCCAAAGCCACAGAGAAACCCTGTCTCGAAAAAAAACCAAAAAAAAAAAAAAGAAAGAAAAGTTTCTGGTGTTGGGTGGTGGTGGCACAAGCTTTTAATCCTAGCAGAGGTAAGCAAATCTCTGAGTTTGAGGCTAGTCTGGTCTATAGACTGGGTTTCAAGACGACCAGGGCTACACAGAGAATCCCTATCTTTAAAAACAAAGAAGAAAAGCTTCTGGTATATATAAAGTAGTGTTATCTGTTGTTACCACAGATTAAGTGTGTGTGTATGGGAGAGAGAGAAAGAGAGAGTCTCCCAGGGTGTTGGCATACACCATCATTTTTGTCTGATTTGTGGGGTTCAGGGGATTGAACCCAAGGCTTTGTGCACACTAGGCAAGCACTCTACCAACTGAGACACACCCCGTCTCCCCATCATGGAACTTTTTTTTTTAAGATTTACTTATTTATTATAAATACTGTGTTCTGTCTGCATGTATGCCTGCAAGCCATAGAGGGCGCTAAATTTCATCACAGATGGTTGTGAGCCACTGTGTGGGTTGCTGGGAATTGAACTCAGGACCTCTGGAAGGGCAGCCAGTGCTCTTAACCTCTAAGCCATCTTTCCATCCCCAGAAAGGGGAACTCTTGATAGCAGTTTCTTGTTTGCTGACTTCTGACCACAAATGTGTTTGGTTGCTGAGTTCCCTATGGCAGAATTACTACACTCCTCATAGCTGCACTCAGTTGTAAATGCTGAGTTTTCTCGCTGCAGGGAGTTTATAGAAGAGCTGGGGTATGTGATCCAGTGCCCAGTCCAACCCAACTCTTTTTTAGGGGGTGGGGGGCAGGGTTTTGGAGACAGAGTTTCCTCTGTGTAGCTCTGGCTGTCCTGAAACTAGCAGTTTAGACCAGGCTAGTCTAAAACTCAAGAGATCCACCTGCCTCTGCCTCCCCAGGACTGGGGCTAAAGGTGTGTGTACCATTGCCCAGCCCCAATCCAAACTCTTCATGAATATGTAAGGAGAATATCTAGGAGTGAGTGTAGGAGGAACACACCAGGTCCTTTTCCGACGCATGACATTTAGTTCTCTGGCTCCCACACAGTGGGTCTTACTGTGCTTTCTCTCCTGAGTTCCCTTCCCTCTTGCCTTTAGTGATGTGTTCCGATCCAAGAATTTCCTGCCACACTTTGGAAAGATGCTGGAGAACATTTTCCTTCCAGTGTTTGAGGCCACCGTCAACCCCCAAGCTCACCCAGAGCTCAGTGTCTTTCTCAAGCATGTAAGTATGACCCTTCAGCCTCTTATACTCCTTGCATGAGCCAGTTGTCCTTGCTGGTCCTCGCCGATTCTCCCCGCTTATCTTTATATTGCCCCCTTACTCTCCCCCACTCCCCACCCTCACCCCCACCCCCGCTTTGGAACTATCTAAGGAGTTTCTCTGCAGGCAGAGCCTCTGCCCTCACACTGAACTCATGGCATGGCTCACTTTTCTGACAGATCACTGGCTTTGACAGTGTGGATGATGAGTCCAAGCACAGTGGTCACATGTTTTCCTCCAAGAGTCCCAAACCTGAGGAGTGGACAATGGAAAACAACCCATCTTATACTTACTATGCCTATTACATGTATGCAAACATCACAGTGCTCAACAGCCTGAGAAAGTAA